TTTACGCCGGTTCGTCCAGGAACGCATCCCCGGCGTAAATCGAGGGCTACCTGTATTTGGATGAACTGTTGTGAACTTCATTGATCAGATAATGAGCCCTGAGATGTCCCTGAATGATAGTTAGAAATATGGAATTTGTAAGTAGAGGTGTGAACATTTGAAAAAGATAAACGGCTGAGACACTGATTTGCCGAACTGTAAAAAGAACACTGTGAAGAAATGGTTCTGTTCATTCATTAAGAGAAATCCGACTGAGTTTTCGACAAGCAGAAGATTTCATAAAGAAAATGTTCCCGTTTTCTCTTTAAAAAAGGCTTATGTCGTTACATATTCGGGGCAAGTGTTATTATAGTCGTGATGGGGAAACTTTCTCACACCACGAATTTAGTAATTGTGTTTGAATGTTTATATAAAGTCAAGGTTGCGTATTATTTGCGTGGGCAGGTGTCCATTTGTAAAATGGCGATGTCTTTGTCACGTGCCACCTATTGACCAATCACCGTCTCTAAGATGTTTGAATCAGGATCTGTAGAAGTTCAAATGGCAATGCATTTTAGTAAAAAATGCCAAATGAATTACGTCATTGCGAAAATGTTCTGATTTAATGGTAACAGTATCTTGGGAACAGTTTTATGAATATTTACAATGATTTGAATTGATTTACATATTGTTTCAAAAGTAGTCTTGTGAAGAATTCGATGTTGTAAGCAATCAAGATGGATGAGACAAACCTAGCCAGTATACTGTGCTTATCACCTTCTCAAATTGAAATTTGCATCTAGTAGCAATATTTCTAAAAGCAGCATGTTGATTTTCAACATAATAATGATAATGACAGCAGTTAAAACTGAAATACAATGTGCATGTTGAATACTTATTATATTCTGTCCCAGACCTGTTTGTTTCTTACATGTGACAAGGTACTTTCTTTTTTAAGTTTGTCAACACAGATTACAAATGTAGTTGTTTCCCACAGCAGGAAATGTTTGGTTGCACATATCTTGTAATGGAAACCACATGCCTGAGTTTATGTAAAATCTGTATGTGCATTATCTTGAAGTGGAATGTTGTGATAAATCTATTTCTTTGCCTTATTCCGAGTATATATTATTGAAGCAAATGTTTCTTACATAGGTTCTGTGTTTTGCTGCCATTTACAGCCAAAGGCTGGCAGATTGGCTGTGACTGGAGCAGAGGATGATATGGCATATGTTTGGGAAACACATTCAGGAGAAGTAGTGTTACAATGCAAGGGCCACAAGGTGGGCATTATATTTGTAATTCATTCAGTATAATAATGAGTAAACAGAATGACAGTAGAATTTCAATATCAGTTTACTTGTATAAAGTAACTGAATATTGTTGGTGATTGGTTTCAGCTTGTGCTCAAGGTTCATATCTTAGTCTGGAGACTGACTGACCTGACTAAGGTTTTCCTTGGTTTTCCTTAGTCTCTCCAGGTAAATTCCAGGACATAACATTAAATTAGACCATTACCAGTTCCTTTCACATCCTCTACAGTTAATTATTCACTAATCATAATTTGATGCTATATAAGCTTAGCAATTGAAAATGTCTTTGAATAGATGAAGAATAGATAAATATTAACCTTTTTGCCTCAAAAGCCTTAGAGTGCATAGATAGGATGTGCAAAATACAGCTTCTTCTGCCTAATGTCTACCTGACTTACGCATGGTTCACCTTGTTATTGTGGCAATGAAGTTGTGGTGTTACAACCATTACATCTGATGTATAGGAAATCTTCCTGCCCATTTCAGCAATAGAACCATGATGATAATCTAATTTTTGATTTCGTATGTGAATTAGACTGTGGTTGTGTTGATTCATGAGCTAACTGTCCTATATATAACCTTAACATTTATGTAAGAAAGAGTATTCAAATTAACTAGTCTGATAATGTCAAGATAGAGTGAATTTCTATGGTGCACTGAAGGATTATTAAGTAATACTTTATTACTTTTTCCTTACATTTTGAAATTTGCCTTTGATGAGTGTCAGTTTTTGTGTAAAAAATAATGGGGAAAGTATGACTCTTTGAAGAATGCAGTGTTGTATATGATCAGATATTGCGTGAGAGTAGTCAGGAAGATTTTCTCTGATACGATATTTCACTGTGTCGTGTACAGGACTCTGTGACCTGTGTTAGATTCAACTATGATGGGTCTTACGTTGCAACTGGAGACATGAGTGGTGTCATACAAGTATGGAAAATAGCTAACAAGTTACAAGTATGGGAAACATGTATTGGCGACCTGACTGTAAGTAATACTACGTTTACATTATGAGTTGTATTTGTGTATAGAAAATCAAACAAATGAAGCAACATATTGCAGAACCACAGTAGTGGCACTGGATGTTGTAAAATTGAATAGAAATGGGTGTTGTGCAGTGAAATTGTGGTGTTTATGTACTCCAACTATAAGTACTGAACATCACAGCCACGTGGTTAGCAGTCATGCTTCTTGTTCAGGAAGTTCCAGGTAAAAACAACAATCTGGAAACATGTTACTGTGTCTGAGGTTTTTCACGGTTTATCTTTATCCCTTCAGCCAAATACTGGGATTGAACCTTAAATGCAGCCATAACCACTTATTTCCAAATCCTTTGCAATGTATTATTTATTAATCATTCTGTCATTTGTTGTTATGTGGTTTGAGCTACTGACAGCATCATTAAATGATCCATATACATAATTAAAATAAATAAATGTTAGTGGATTTACTTAATAATGTAATAAGCTTGTGGTAATTAACATTACATTTATTTACTGTAAAATCCTTATTTAATTATTTTCCTGGTCTCATTGTGAAATGTTAATTCTTCTTGGATTGTCTCCTGACTATATAGCATCAAATAATGTATGATAAATGAATTGGAAAGGTCGTAGCTTAAATTAAGGTACTTTTCCGCCAGTTTCATGGAGGGACTGGGAAACCTCAGTCCTGGATAGTCATCTCCAGGCTGATGTTTGAACCTGGGACCTCCTGAATATGAAGCAGGAGTACTAACCACTTGGCTGCAACGTTTAAATAAGACTCTGTCTTGCAGTCATGCACTGTTTGCAGTGGCTGAGGTGGCATCACGGAGCAAATGTCTTGCTAGCTGGAACTGAGTCGGGGGAGGTATACGTGTGGAGAATTCCAGGAGGAGAATGCAAAGTGTTGCCTGGCCATGGTGACAAAGCAGACTGTGGACTCATGTTGCCTGATGGTATGCAATTTATAATAAAATTATGACTTTGCTGTCAGGCAGTACGTGGATTTTTATGTCCTCTTTTTATTTTTTTGTATGTTCCTTGCATAGAAACTGTGAAAACTGAAGAAATGAAAGGATTTTGTGTATAATATAAAGGAAATAGATCCCCATAATTTGGAAGGGCACTTCATGCAGAATGTACAAGTATGCCAGCCATTATCATTATAAGTTGCTTTTTATGTGTCCTTTGCATGATGGGCTGATCATGTCTGTCTGTCATCCGCGTGGTTCAACTCAAAAACCATGGGACGGATTTGAATGAAATTTTGTATGGTCATTATTTGAGTAATTATTTGAGAAATAAGTGCAGCAGGTACTGTAAACGTTCTGATAATATCCCAGGTGGAATTTTTTTACCTTGCCATTTACGTCATGAAATACGAAGTAGAGAGAATGAAATTAAGATGTAAATTTTTTTAATTTCCAGGCAAACGTATGGCGATAGGTTATGCAGATGGCTCACTTAAAATATTTGACACAAAGACTGCGACAGTATTACACCACGTACCTCAAGGACAAGCTCACACTGGTACAATTACTGACATGGACTGCCATCCTGATAACAACTTGCTTATCTCTAGTAGTGTGGATGGACATGCTGTTGTGCTCAAAACTCAAACTGGAAAGGTTAGTAGGCCTGTATTATTCTGACAGGAACTCTGAAGTACGAGGCTCGTCCTTAAAGTAAGTTTCCCTGGGGCCGTTTACAGAAACAAAACACAATTTCATGTAAATATTTATTGCAACAGATACAGCAAGTGTCTAGCTATTTTTCAACATATTCGCCACCGGATTTGAGACATTTGTCATACCGTGGGACCAACTTTTGAATACCTGTGTCGTAGAAGTCTGCCGCCTGGGATTGGAACCACTGTGTGACAACCATCTCCGCCTCTCTTTCATTCTCAAAACGCTGACGCTGACCGGACAGGAATTTCTTGAGGTGTAGGAAAAGATGGAAATCACTGGGAGCGAGGTCCGGGCTGTAGGGTGAATGATTAAACACCTCCCAGCTGAACTCCTGCAGGAGACTTGCTGTCCGTCGAGCCGTGTGCGGCCTAGCGTTATCACTGACCGCACTTCACAGTCGGCGGGAGCTGGAATAAGAACCTCCATCTTCAACAGCTGCAACGATGCTACTGTGAGAACGCAGGAGGTGCCGTTAGTGCATGCGCCATGCTACGTCATTGCTCTATCACGTACGCACAGTCGCTTCGCGTAATATAAGGTTTGCTAGCTGTGGGACGAGTGGGAAACTTACTTTGTGGACGCGCCTCGTACTTCTACAGATGTCTTCCAATTAATTTTCTTCACGCTGTTACACATATTTACACTTTTTACACCACTTAAACTATTTCGTTTGAGGTTCGTGTTAAATGCGGGAACAAAGTGTTGGACAAAGTGAAACCTTGCGATCGCTACATCTACATTACGTCTACCTTCTGTTATTTTCCACGTACATCACAGAATTCTTGCTGACATGTTTCCTTGCTCATGTGGGGAGGGTTGAGATCAGGGAAATGCCTCCCTGAGAATCTTCCATCAGGGTTTGTAGGAAGCGATCTCAGTGGTCTTTGGGTCATGGCCTCAGGGGACGTTGCTGTTCTGTACTTCTGAAATAACTTTTAGGTTATTTCTACATGGATCTGAAGGGCACCGATATGAAACCATGTTACTGGAGATCATATTTCATTTATTCAATTGAAGGTTTGCGGCATGAACGCGTTATATTAGTTGATAATTTCTGCTTTTTTTGTCAGAATCCTTGGTCCAACAGCTCTTCAGCAGTATGCGGAGAAGAGGGTGGGTTTACCGAGGAATAGTCGGCCATTATACAACCTGGCCATGTCTGGTCTCGTTATCTGCTTCACAGGCTTTAGGAAGAAGGATGAGTTGGTAAGGTTAATTTCTTTTAATATCACTTTATCGAAGTATGAGATTGAATTAACATATCGATCATGTCTTTTGCAGTGTGTTCAAGTTTTTGATGATGTGTTGAATAAAATAATTTCACTTTCTTTGTCTTTCCATCTGTGTATCATCGGATAATTAACATGGTAAGTGCTTGAAATGTCGTAGCGTGTATAAAGTTGTGTGTGTGTGTAATTGGAATTCAGAATTAATTTTTAATGATATTTCATTATTCATTAGATTAAAAACTTTTTCAGACAATTTCTAGAACGTTGTGAAGATTAATGCTCTGTGTTAACGTACATTTTATCAGTTCAACAAGCTTTATTAAAATAAATTCCATGAAAGCCTATAATGGCCTTATTAATGAAGTCTTATGAATTCTATTAATGGTAGTAAAATTAAACATTAGAGTATATTTTCACTAGTTTAATGTGTGAATGACAGTAAGATGTGTCTTTTCAATACGGTGACCAGCGTAGTTACTCTGTTTATAAACATATACGCAGTAAAGGAAACATTTCTCGTAATATGTATATGTACTTATGTAATTGTTCAACAAATAAGGTAAAATCTTAGAATAACAAATTTTTATGGACACACAAATATGTTCATAATAATAAAATTTTGTAACAAAGGCAATGAAACTAATTAATGCATGTGAAGATCTATTGTTTTATTGATTTACCGCCATTTAGACTTGTAGGATACATGCAAGTCCACACGGTATCGCTACCAAAAGATCGACATCTGTGTACGTAGAAAGCTTCGGTTTCCGCTGACGCCATACATGTAACTCTTACAGAACCGGTTGATCATGTTGATCCATAACATGGGTGGCAGCATACGTAGGGATATGGTGTCGAAAGTTACACATCTAATAGCCAACTCCTGTGGAGGTGACAAGTACCAATATGCTGTGACATTCCGTGTGCCTGTGATGAGTGAAACGTGGGTACATGACATGTGGGAGAAACGAAAGGAAACCACCGTTTCAGCTGCAAGCGAAGAAATGGTTCGTATAAGATTGGTCGGAATAGAATTGTTCAAATGCTCTTTAGTTTTTCAGTCTTTAAGTTCTAAATGTAGGTTCTATATTTGTTACTGATGGTAAAGTAATTATTTACTGATCTGCGGATGATGTGTGATTCACGGTACAGAAGGGAATCCAATTCCTGTTTTAAGGTTCTGTCCTCATTCAGATATTTTGTAACTTTTTCGTATCTCTGCCTCGTGGAGCAGTGGACCAGCGTTCAGATTGCTTCTCATTCAGTTACTCTCTAACGCTGAGCCACGACAAAGGTGAGATTATTATTGCAAGCTCAGGAATGAGGAATGGAGTGCCCAGTTTTGTTCCTAGCCGAGGCGTCTGCCTCGTTGTTACCTTGAATACCGCAGTGGCCACAGCCCTTGTTCCAGCTAGACGGGGTACGCAACGTCTATTGTCAACATTCCCAGACAAGCTTCGACATTGCCGTCGATGCCACGAGGGCCTGCAATATTTTGTTGATCTGTTGCGGATCATCCACCCAACTAACTGTTTAAAGCGTTAATTTTTCTAATTCATTGGCATCGTGTTTTGATATAATGTATCATCTTCAGGTCAATCTCTCTCTTAACTAAATGTGCCAACATCTTCATCGTACATCAGATGGATCTATTTATGTGCAGATATAATAATCACATTTTCAATATGTGGAAGGATTTTCATGTAAGTGGATCCATTCAATTACATTGCAATGTATGTTTTGCGAATAAAAACCTGTACAGTCTGTATAATTTTTTGTTTTGAAAAATGTGTTATTGTCGAAGACCGTATTGGCTGCAGGGGAACTACTCTCGGTACTAAATATGTGAAAGTTGTGTTATTTATCGTTACTATTATGTGTTCTTAAGTAGGCATATGTCAGTGGATTGTTTAACTGGTGGTATTACGTTGTGAGGTATACTTTCCTATGAAATGTTGGTAAGCCTCTGCAAGACTACATGGTATCACAACCTGGAAGGCCACCGTTTAATAAAAATTAATGTCTGGATGCATGGAATTGGTCAGAGAGGAAAGCGGAATCAGAATTTAAATTCCCGAACAAGTCAATACTTTTAAGAACTTGTATTCTGGAGGTCACGGATTTAAATCTCGGTCCCAGAGAACGACTATTATGACTGGTTTTTTCGTGGTTTTCCTCAGTACCTCCAGTCAAATGCCAGGATGGTACCTTAAATTAGACCACGACCGATTCCTTACACATCCTTTCCAATTTATTATTAACTATCATCCTCTCATTTTACACTATATGGTCTGAGCTACTGAAAAAACATTGTAAAATAAACTATAAATAAATAAATAAATCTTGAGAACTTGAATTGTAACTTTTATGAATTAATGTCTAAATACAGTAAAATCCATACCTCATAAGCTGCGTTTTGTAGACAAGAAACCTCAACATACATAATTCCATTGTAAGAAAGTTCAACCATTTGTAATGATAATTTTTTTTAACGTGGTACTATTTTATGTTAAATTAATTTACACTTATAAGCTTGGGGTAGTTGAGTGCTTCTGTACTTGAAATATGAAAATATCCGTTCCTGTTGCGCAGATGAGTTACAAGCTGAAGCCGTTCCATGGAGCCCGAGTGTGTTTCTTTGGTTTCCCGGATGACGAAACGGAGCACATGAAGGAGGTGTTGCAGGAGAATGGCGGAACAGCAGCAGAGCTTGAAGATCCCTCCTGCACCCATGTGGTAAGCCTCGTTTATTAACATATTCACAGGATTCCCTTGCTTTGTTTTGGTGATTATGGCAGCAACATTTCTTTTCTGCCGTTTTCAGGTTGTGGATGAGTCGGTAGTGCAGAGTGTTCCCGAGAAGTCACCTGTCAGGGCCCCCATCGTAAAAGCCGAGTGGTTTTGGGCGTCTGTTCAAAATGAGGGGTCTGCAGATGAGAAGGATTATCTCTTTGAAGATGTAAGTCGCTTTGTTCGTTATTATTGGTACACGTTGAAAATATGTCCGAAAACTTGATAATAATGAATTAAATGCATGCAATTCCCACTGCATAATATTGAAAATAGACAATTTAATTCGAAATTTGAAGATGGCTGTTTTCTGGGATGTATCACCTTGTAGTCTGGTAGATATTGAGTAACATTTCAAATGGTCATACTGCCTTCATCATCAGAGTGATGAATAAGTAATGTCCTGAAAGGTTGTGTTAGATGTAGGAATAGGTTGGACAAGGCAGGGCCCTGGTTGGATGAATGGGAGAAATGAGAACTGGAGTGAGGGTAGGCACAGGAGATCCAGTAGGAGAAAGGGACTTGGCAAGGCTGTATGGAAGAAAGCATTAGCGAGATACAATTTTAAAATAAAGATAGGGCAACCAAAATAATTAAGTAAAATACAGATGAAAATAAATCAAGATAAAATAAGTTTTACTCATTGCTCTGATGATGGAGGCAGATAGAACCTCTGAAACACTGGTAAACTTCTACCAGACTACACGGCACTACGACCCAGAAGACGGCCATCTCTGGACTCACCACCACGAAAACCTCAAATCATACTAAGTTAAAATAAAATAAATATAAATAAGCATGAAATACATAAGACATACATTACTGACTCTGAAAGAGCAGTGTTCCTGTGAAAGTAGTACTTTTAATTGCTTGTTTTGCGAGTGATTCTCTGCATATGCTGTGGCCAGGAGGGAATGAAGACAAGTTTTGAGTACCACCAGATGCCGCTGTTTATGTGTTGAAAGCTGATTCTGCTTTGAAGATATTTTACCCATACCTCATTTATGCTGTCAGATGTTTCCAGTTTCCTCGCTGTGGTATCATTTTTAAATGTCTTAATTAAAGCTGGATATATCTGTACGGTTTTATTATTCCTTCTTAGTTTGCTGGATTGGCACAGCATCTCTGAAGTTTAGACCATCAGTAAATGACTTTTCACATTATCAAAATGATAAGAATAAAAGAGACAATAATCCATGTTTCCCATTAGCTGAGAGCTATATCATTGAGGTAATAAGACATTTTTTATTTTATCTTTGTTCATAATATAAAATTATTCGTGTCTGTAAATTTTTTTCCTGAATTTGTGTGGCTAATCTGTGCTAGATGTGTAATACGAGGTGTGGGTAAAATAATATTAAAAGAGGTGTCTGCTTCCAGCAGAAAGGCAGCAGCACCTTAGAGGCGTACGTGAAACTTATCCTCGTTCGTTCCCTCTTGGTCAAATGAGCTGCAGAGAATCATTTACAAAATAAACATCTGCAGAACAATTTGTTCTCTTTAAGACCTTGCAG